GCCCGTTCTAAACCTGCCGGTTTGGAATGAGCTGATTTCCTTGTTCTGTGTTGATGCCGGTTGCAGGTTATTATCTGAAACTGTAAAAGGGACCTGCAGTAAAAGAGCTGCGGCAAATAAAGACCGTCTGCAGGACTCAGTCCACAAAACCCTGAAGCTCCACCACTGCTACAGAGTGCTGGTTGATTGTTTATTCAGTGTTTGTGAATATTGAATTGATTATTATTTTTACATTCCAAGTGTGAAGCCGATAACATGAACAGTTAGAGATTTCTGGAATGATTTGATGGATATAGATAGATGGATGATAGATAGATGGATGGATGGATGGATAGATAGATAGATAGATGATGTAAAAACTGTCTTATATCTTTCAACCACGTCCTCCAGGCCTAAGTGAAGGTCGGCAGTAAGTTCTGGTTTGATGAGCTGTAGTGTGTGGAGAGTAAGAGGTCAGCAAACCCAGGTCATGTGCAATTTACCCTGACCCATAAAACCCTGACAGCTTGTGATGTATTGTGTGCTGTTACTGACCAGGTTTCTCAAAGGTCCTAGTTTCTGTAACATATATTCTGAGGATCAAGTTCAAAAGAGCCAAACTATCATGTTCCTCCCTCCAGGATCCAGTGAAGACGGTGGAGGAGACGGTGGCCTGTAAAGGACCGGAGGTGCCGAGGAACAGCGAGCAGAAGATCATCACCACTGCCGCTGACCTGATGTCGATATTGCCCCCGCCTCCAATACCCCCCCGCCTGGCCGCACGCTCACCCCCGCTCCCGCCCCGGCTCCCCTCGTTCACCGAATATTTCAGCATGCAGGGGGGAGGGGGGTTCGGAACCAAGGCGTGAGAAGGAGAAAAGGTCAGGAGAGAGGGGGACGAGGGGAGGCATGGAGGGAACGGACAGAATGACAATTTAAAAAAAAGGAAAAGTGGAAATCAGACAAAAGGGACAGCCAAGAAAAAGTTGGAGATTGGAAGGATGAAGAAGAGAAATCATCAGAGCAGTGAATCCCTAAACGGTACCTTTCCACCTGTGAATGGAAATAACCTGCTGGAGGAGTAAAGGCTGTGAGATAGCTGAGCTTGTTAAAGAATAAAGAAGCAATAAATATTTGATGCTGACCAGTAAAAGGCACACAGGGAGAAAGATGACAAAGTGGATGTAGCCAGAGCAATAGAATGATAGCTGTGCAAGATGCGGAAATGAACAAAGTTCTTGAAATACTTTTATTCAAAAATTCATGAGGCGGTGATGGTGTGCCTGGAAGAGTTTGTAAATAGCTAAAACCGGAGAGAGCTCCCACTATATCGAGTTTTATTGGGAAAAAAAAAAAAAGGGAAATTTGTTTTCATGGGTTTTTTCCACATCATTAAATTCCAGTTGGTGCTGTGACCATTGAAAACTCTCATTCCATTCAAATGATCATGTAAAAGAAAAAGAGCCTTTTTTATGTTTGGCATATTTTGATAAAACATAGATATTTACTCTCAATGGAGTTTGTCGGGTTAATTTATATTCTAATATGCCTTTAATATAGCAGCTGGTTATTCTGGTTTGATATGCTGATGTGTAAATGTAAAGCGTAATGTTTACTGTGGGCACTTCTAGGTACTCGTAAAAAAAAAAAAAAGCATGTTTGTATTGTATTTCCTGTCCAAAAAGCTGATACATGTATTCCCCCCCGTGATCATACAATATTTGCTAATTGTGTGTATTGAAATCTATACTTTTGTAAATACATACAATAGGCTTTAGTATATTTTTGACAGGTGAAATTCTGATGTTATTCCAAGCGAAACCTTCATGTGCTGTCGAAAGAAATACAGATTATTACGATGCTGTCTTGGTTTTCGTAGGGAGTACAGAACATGCCTGATCAAAAATGTCATCTCTGTGTATGTAGACGTTGGTGAATGTACTGATGCAATACGGCACAAGGACAGGGATGATTTTCAAGTTACTGGAACACTGTAGTTCACCTTTGAACTGTCTGCTCAGCTTACATCCGCGACACGTCCCTGATTAAACAGGAGGCTTTTTTTCTTTTTTTTTTAAAATACAAGTAACTTCATCCTCACTCCTGTCTAGTACCCGGATCATGAATAAATATATGAATATATATAAATATATAACTATTTGTCAGCTTTTCGGCCTTGAATGTTCAAACCGTACGAAAAGCTGAGCAAATATTTTAGTTTTATATCTCCTAACATTGAGCGATGATGAAAAAAAGCCTTGTTGATGAACTGTGAAAACACAACTGTACATTTTGTCTGTCCTGCATGGAGCACTTTAATGTTCCTGGTCTTAGTCTGTTTATTATTCGTGATGATGTCACCTTAATACGACTGCTTTGAAACCTGTACCCACACCACATCGTGTAGTATTCCACGTGCATACGCCTGTAAATACAGTCTGAGCGTCATCGACTGTCCGGATTCTTTAGAGAACGTATCTGAGTTTACAACCAGCTTCTGGCAAAAATCAGCGACAGGGGAACCAACAAATCCAACAGCATTATCTTGACAATTCTGATTCTTAAAATCAGTGGGACTCTGCTGCACAGCCCGCAGATGTATCAGTGGCCGTCTTGCTGTAATGGAGCATTGTAGGATGTTAGGACCGTGGTGTGTAACTTGTCAGAGTGTAGTCAAGAGGTGTAACTTGATACTTGAATACTAGTCGTTATTTCTGATTGTGTCTGGTTTATATTTGGCACGTCTGCCATTTTGTCTGCTGTTGCCTGATGCTACGGTTGCCATGACTCGACTGGACGACTCTACTGTTGCATCACTGCTTCGATCTTACAGATGTTGACATTTAAATGACAGGACTGACACACACACAGACGCACACACACACACACTCTCAGACGCACACGGGGGTGAGACGTTGAAGAAAAGAGATTATGTATGCATGACAGAAAACAGCACAGCTTACTGGCTACTCAGAGCGATCTGGTTAAGAGCACATCACTGAAGCACTGTTCAGATGCATTTTAATGGTGTCAAATGATGATTCTATATACGCTGTACATAAACACCTTTTGCCAAAATAATAAAAAAAATATGGTTTTATTAGAAAGATTGGTTGCATTTGTGTGTGTGTGCGTGTGTTGTTTGGCTCCTGCGTTAACAAGTGAGGGTGTTTGTGTTCTAGTTACGACAAGGGCATGTGTCCAAAGGGGTAAATTTAATATCTGTAAATCATATTTAGAATCTGTTCTCATTACAAGAGTCCATTAAAGTAAAACACCACAGGGACAGACTCCAGGCTGGTCACAGGCTGATGTAGGCTATAGCCTAATTATTTCTCAGTCACCGCCAGTTTCCCGCTCTGTGACTGTGGAAGTGCGCGGTCACAACAAACTGTTTGTCCCTGTTCTTTCCAGGAAGGGTCTAATGGCTCTCAGACGAATCTTGCCACAATCTAATCAAACTTATTTCACTGTTGGGTAAAAAAAAAAGTGTGATGTTCAATTCAGTTATTTTCTCCACAAAGTCCTTTTCCATCAAATCTGATCCAATATGACAGTCCAATACAATATATACTGTAAATACGCCCTCGGTTCATCTATTCCACTTCAGTTTAAATGAGACTTGACTTGTGGGTTTGTGTTATAATGCATTATATAGTTTGGAGCTCTATTATTTGTTCACCATGACAAAACAAATAATGAAAACATTGTGCAATATGCTGCAGCTTGATGGATGATCCTCACTGCTGACACTGACTCGTCATAAAGGATTTCCACAGTCTTCACTAAATTAAATGTCAAGATGTTTTAAGACCTTTTCAACAACACAAAGAACAATGTTTAACAGCTCGTCACTGTTATAAGGCCATAGAATAACAACAAGAACCAGATTATAATTAATTAGTAATTAATCAAATACATTATTGCTAATGTCAAACACCTTCCCAACTGTATTTAACAATAATTCCTGGTTTATAATAATCTATTAACATGACCTGGACGGACAATGGAAAATGTATAGATTGATTAACTTATTAGAAATATATTAAGTTAAAGTCCTTATTTTAAAGAGTCCTGCAGTGTGACAGTATTTGTATCAGGTAATAAGGATAGTTAGTAACATTTGGTATATATTTATATATACGTGCTGCAGTGGAGCTGCTTGTAGTTTTTCTGTGTGACATGATGATGCAGTGGTTAGCACGCACCTCACAGCAGAAGGTTCTGGATTCGAACCTGTGTGATCGAATCAGTGTTCTCCCTGTTTGTGTGGGTTTTGTCTGGGTACTCAGGTTTCCTCTCAAAGTCCACATGTAGATTGAGACTCTAAATTGCCCATAGGTGTGAATGTACACGTTAGACCTGTGATACGATGGCAACCTGTTCAGGGTGTACTTCACCTCTGGTCCAATGTCAGCAGGGATTGGCCTCAGCTCCCCAAGGTGTTTGTGTTGTTATTTCTTTTTCATCCTTTGTACAAACCAAACCATAAACTATGGTCTGGGAAAGATATTTTACGAGTTTTATACGACGCTTGTAAACTTCACAAGTAGTTCTACTTATATCTGTTTTTCTTGAGGTAGAAATTGTTTTTCAACATGGCCAGTGATCGTTTTATGGGCACATTCACTAAAAATAGCTGATTGACGAGGTGGGTTGTGAACAAGCAGTTTCCTCCACAGAAAACATTCTGACACCTCACAGCAGTAAAAGCACACGTGTAAAAAAAGCAGTAACACTTGTGCTTTTCAGACGATGACAAGTCAAAATGTTTGCAATGGAGGACTGTTCACTTCAATTATCTCTGAACTGAACAAACACAATAGATAAAGAAATCTTGGAGCAATTCATCCACTGTTGATGTATTAGACGACATAAGATATATAAACATGTCCTGTTATTTACTGATATTGTTGAAAAGTGCTACCAAACACAAGAATGGGAAGAAGAACAGCATTGTTTGGGAGCGAAACCTCACATGGTCGATAGTTTAGTGCTCAAAGACAAAGTAAAAAAACCTCTTACTCTTGATAGGAAATTTATTTTACAATACATTATCAATCAGAAATGTTCCCGTACAGAAACGTCCTCTGCTTCAGTTGAAGGTTTAACTTCCGATCTGCTCTTTAGCTGAATGAAATGCATCAGTCTCTTTAGGCCACAAACTGCAGATGTCTCCTCAGCGACCTGCAGGTTATGATTTTGCAGCTAACTGTTGGGCCCTCTCTTCTCTGTAGCCTTTGAGCAGCTGGTTGATGAGCGTCAGTTCATTCTCCTTTTTCGCGGGGAAGAGAGGAGGGAAGGGGTTGCCCTTGTACTCCAGGACGGCCATCTTAGCTCTGTCCAGGTTCTGTCTGTTGGGGATTTGCGCCATCCGTGTGTAACCTTTCGACTGAGTCTCAAACCGTGGGGCCAGGACCTTGAAGAGCTTTGGGACCAGATCCTTCTCCTGCAGAGAGAGAACACGCTCAGAATAAACGACTGTTTCACATTCAGAATGACGCAGCTTGTAAACTTCACAGAGTCGAGAAGATGCAGACACGCACCGTCAGCCAAAAACTGGCCATTTTCATTGCCTTCTCATCGGTGTCTCCCTTCTTGGCATAGTCAACCAGCTGGAAAAAAACAAGACAGGAAAACACATCCAGTCAAAATCCTCATATGTGGAAGAAAGAGGAATTCAAATCTGATAATGTTCCATGTTGGAGAGTGTTTGTTGAAAAATTCAGTGCAGCTTTTTTATTTAAAGTGACTCTTGGGCCTCGGTGGAGGTAAACGCTCTATTAGCTGCGGTTCTATCTTTCAACAATGTTAACTTCTGATATGCGTCTCTACAAGAACATGTTAAAGTTGTTTAAGATTATTTTTTATTGCTACTTTACTCACCAGACCATGAAGTGAGGACATTTAAGTGTTGTGCTTTTGCCTGATGAAGATATGGTTGTTCTGTCACACTTCAATAAAAGCTTGTAAAACAGGCCCAAGCTCAAGATATCGACCTCAACCTGTTTTATAGATAGCAGCTAGATAATATTTCTTTATATACATATATGTTAAAGTGAATGAGAATGTAAAACCCCTACTTTAGCTTCGGTATTGAACTGCTTAGCCTTTCATTCTGTTATAACGTAATAATAATAATATATGAATTCAGAATTATGATTTCTTCTTCTAGTGGATGATACTGAGGCTTCACAACAAATACATTTAAAAAACTAAATGTTTGTTTTCTGTTTTTATCTTATCGACTCAGACGTGCTAGCATTAGCATTAGCTTCCCCAGACAGTTCGGTACCTTCTCGGCGTAGAAGCGGACCTCATCGGCTCTGGCCCGCGTGGTTTCGATCCTCTCGTGTCGGACCAGTCCCGTCAGAATGTTCCGCAGCATGTTGATGCGGGACTCCGGCCCCAGACCGATCCTGCGGGCCACCCGGCCGTGCGAGATCAGCATCCGCAGCGTGAGGCGCATCTTGTCCGGGGAGAGTTTCCTGCGAGAGTCCGAGACACAGACACGGAGGAGCCGACAACACACAGCGGGGACCGGGTTCTGAAGGAGGCGGGTGCCCTTTCCAATCAAACCTTGATATGCGGTCTATGATGTGGACTCGATAGTTAAGAACGAATCCTTCAGGTCAGATGTGTCAACGCTGTCTGACATTGGTGGTGCGTCGGTATAAGTGTCCGACTTGGTCCTGGAACGGGAGCGCAACAGTTCCGCTTGACTCACTGCAGAGGAGACGAGAACCAAAAGCTAAAATTATTATAATTAATATAAAATACTATAATTATGATTGTTATTAGGATTAATGACAATGAGTGATGAATGATAATAGGGTATTTTTTTAACTTTTTGACTTTATTTGGTTATTAAATACAAATGTGTTGTTTACAAACACGAAACTTTGCTCAGAACTGTTAACATGTTTATTTTAAAACTAATTGTTCATATTGTTTTCTGTTTTATTTGTTGTTTGTCTAAAATAACTTAAATGCTAAATGATCCAATTAAAACAATAACCAAAGAATATTTTGCAGAGTTTGAATGAGGCTCTTTTTGAAGTATTCTGCTCAGTTTTGTGATACAGCTTAAAACTGTGTGTGTTATTGTAGTTTGATCGTTTCTGCGTTTCAGTGCAGTACTATATGTTTTTGTACAGACTGTAATCATCCAGTCATCATGACCTTGACTCAGTCCTGCAATGAAATGCCAGTTGGACACTTTCTCACAGATGGCCTCACTGGCTCTGATATTGTGAATGAAAATATACAGGCCTACATATACACACATATATATATATATAATGTGAAAATGCTGACACTTTTAACTCCCCCATCATTATTAACATAACAGTGCTTTTATTTTATATTGTCTGTGTTCTTGTTGATGTATTTATCTTTTTAACTTCCTGCTGTGGNCTTTTGAATGTGTTTTAAAAAGTTGAAACAATTCTCTTACTAGTGAATAGTTTTTCAATTCTCTGAGTATTCCTGAACTTCATATTCCACGTGATGTTGTTTCAGGCYGCACTCTGTACATCTATGTTTAGCGCAGTTTGTATTCAGTAATCTTTGACCCCGACATGTGAAGACATGGCTGCAGCTCTGCAGATGGTCCAGTTCACAACCACAGTTGCTGAATATGGATTTTACAGAAYGAYGAARCCAYGTGTCTTCAAAAATGCTGACTCCAGAGACAAACAAAATCAAACTATGAAATGACACATGTTCTATGCAAGATATGATTTGTGATAGGACTTCTCAGTTTTGATATCTAGCTGGTCCTATATGGCCTGATGCTTTTCAGAACCATTTCTGTCATGAAATATAAATAGCAAAGACTTAACAACAGAGGCCATATAAAATGGATTAGATTTGTTCCTAGGCATAATCTATCCCAAAGAGAATATATTCTGACATCACCTCTAAACGTTGAGTGGTCCATACTGACACACTCAGCTCCTATGAGCAGCACAAACACCAGAGCACTCATGTTTAAATGATGGTGGATAAAAGGACTAAGATTGCCTCATACTTGCTTTTTATTGAGTGCTTAACCTAAAGCCATCAATTGAGCCCCGCCCCTGTTGTTGCTGACCAATCAAAACCCTCAAAAAGTGCTCATGGGGGGGACATTCACTCTTATCATCTTAATAAAAAACATTTACCAAAGAATATTTTGCAGAGTTTGAATGAGGCTCTTTTTGAAGTATTCTGCTCAGTTTTGTGATACAGCTTAAAACTGTGTGTGTTATTGTAGTTTGATCGTTGCTGCGTTTGAGTGCAGTACTATATGTTTTTGTACAGACTGTAATCATCCAGTCATCATGACCTTGACKCAGTCCTGCAATGAAATGCCAGTTGGACACTTTCTCACAGATGGCCTCACTGGCTCTGGTGTTGTGAATGAAAATATACAGGCCTACATATACACATATATATATATAATGTGAAAATGCTGACACTTTTAAGTCCCCCATCATTATTAACATAACAGTGCTTTTATTTTATATTGTCTGTGTTCTTATTGATGTATTTATCTTTTTAACTTCCTGCTGTGGAGTTGTTTGCTCCATATCAATTGACTTGATTTGAGTCTCTCTAGGTAATGGGTTGTTTGCAAAAATTGATTGTGTTTGACGATATTTCATGTAATTCAGATAAAAATGTATAGAAAGAAGCATTTAAACCAGACAATACTGTGGTGTTATAAGACTTTTTGTCACATAGCGTTTATCGAGAAGGAAACAGTTCAAGATCTTGGTGAAAGATCCAAGAATATTTTAAAATAGTGTGTACCATGATGTGGAAAGAAATGAAAAGGAACATTATTTGAAAGTAGATGTTTCAGACTTTATTGATAAAGATACTAAAAGGCTGCACATTGTTCAAAAGTTGACATCATGTTGGAGTTAGAACGATGGAAGAAAGGCAGCGGAGAACGATCACAGGATCAGATTTAATAGCTGCTCATGGTGTTTGTCAGCCAGTCGTTGAAGAGGCAGACCTGTGGATGGAGA